AGACAGTCAAAGTGAATTCTTTTTCTCAAAACAGAATAGACTCTACCCACCCCCCCTCCCCTGGCGTTATCGGCCCCATTTTCGGGTATGTAAATCATATGTGATTACGACCACATGTGCATCCTACATATGAACGTACACTATCCCAGGGGGGCCGGGATCGGTCCCCCTGAGGTTCCCTTGTAAAAAACAATACGCGGGGACATTTGTTGCTCGAGCATAAGACCTTTTCGCGAATCCTTTACATAAAATGTGACGAAGTGCACACGCGCGCGTCGTCGCGCGCGCATGCCGACATCCTTCAAAAACCGTCGGTGCTGGAATGATTTCGCAATCGAGTTTCCAAAACACATACAAAAACAAATAGTTTCGCAACATTGGTTTTCTAAAAAAAGCTTACGCGCGAGCTATTGCGAAATCTCAAGAAAACCATAAGATTTCCAAGATTTTCAGGAAATGCTACCAAACGGGCTTCGCGCGCGCATGTCGAAATCTTTCGAACGTCCTTGCGCGTGTGCCGTCGCGGGAATCCTTCGCAAAAAATGGGACGAAGTGCAGACGCGTGCGTCGTCGCGCGCGTATGCCGAAACCCTTCAAACCCATCGTATGCCGTAATCCGAAATCATTCAAAATCGTGTGGCAAAAAACCTACAAACACACAAGGTTCCGCAACACGGGTTTTCAACAAAAGCGTGCGCGCGCGCTCTTGCGTCGTCGTTGTCGTCGTCGGCGTCGTCGCCGTCCTCCCTCCTCCCGCGTCGTCGTCGTCGTCGCCTACGTCGTCCTCTGTCTTTCCTCGTGTACGTCGTCGTCGTCCTCTTTGGCGTCGTGGTCGTTTCCGTCGTCGTTGTCGCCGTGGTCGTCCTTCCTCCTCCTCCCTCGTCGTCGTCGTCGTCGTCCGTCGTCGGCGTCTCGTCGTCGTCCCTCCTATTTTGTCGCCGTCGTCGTCGTCGTCGTCGTTGTCGTCGTCGTCGTCTTCCCTCCTCCCTCGTCGTCGTCGTCGTCGGCGTCGCCGTCCATCCTCCTTCTTCGTCGTTCGCGTCGTCGCCGTCCTCCCTCCTCCCTCGTCGTTGTCGTCGTTGTCGTCGTTGTCGCCGTCGTCGTCCTCCCTCCTCCCTCGTCGTCGTCTTCGTGGGCGACGTCGCCGTCGTTGTCGTCTTCGTCGTAGTCGTCGTCGGCGTCGGCGTCGTCGTCGTCGTCTTCGTCGTCGTCGACGTCGTCGTCGTCGTCGCCGCCGCCGTCGTCGTCGTCGTCGTCGGCGTCGTTGACGTCGTCGTCGTCGTCGGCGTCGTCATCGTCGCCGTCGTTGTCATCGTCGTCGTCGTCGTCGGCGTCGGCGTTGTCGTCGTCGTCGGTGTCGTCGTCGTCGTTGTCGGCGTCGTCGAAGTCGTTGGAGACGTCGTCGGCGTCGTCGTTGTCGTTGTCGCTGTCGTCGTCGGCGTCGATGTCGTTGCCAACTGCCATTTGGTACCCACCGTCACGGCCTTAAGAGATTTTGCAAACCAAGTTGCGGGTGGGTGGGTGGGATGATTGCGCGAGCAGTGGAGTTGACATGTTCAAGTGCGTCAAGTGAGTTGCAACCGCATAGATAGCACCACGTATATTGCAGAACATATATATATATATATATATATATATATTGTCCCACGTAGGTTGCACAATATAAGTTGTTGCACATAGATTGCGCAACACAAATTGCACACCACATCATGCCCCGCATATATTGCAAACTTCAGTTTGCACAGCACATATTGTACAACAGCAGTTGTATACATATAACGGCGCACCGGGTCCGGGGAGCCCGGGCGCCGGGAGGCCTCCAAGACCGAGACTGAAGATGCTGTGGGCTCCCGCGGAGGGCCCCCGGCCCATTCCCTTCGTAAAACGTACATTTTCAACGTCTTTTGGGCTTTCCGACGTTGACCGCCCCAAGACGGCCCAAGAAGCTTCCCAAGAGGCGCCCAAGATCACGACAAGAGGCCGCCAGGAGGCCCCAGGAGGCCCCCAAGAGGCCCCAAGACGTCCAAGGACGCCCCCAAGACGCCCCAAGAAGCCTCCAACATGCGTCCCAAGAGGGCCCCTAGACGCAAAAATTGCCCATTCCCCTCGTAAAACGTACATTTTCAACAAAGTTGTCTTTTGGGCTTTCCGACGTTACAGGACGGCCCAAGAGGCGCCCAAGACCGCCCCAAGACGGCCCAAGAAGCTTCCAAGAGGGCCCCAGGACAGCCCAAGAGGGCCCCAAGACGGCCCAAGAGGCGCCCAAGATGGCCCAAGAGGGCCCCAAGACGGGCCCAAGAGGGGGCCCAGAGGGGGACCACGAACCGCAAGCTCGAGCCTTCCGCCCCAAGAGGCCGCCAGGAGGCCCCCAGGAGGCCCCTCAAGAGGCCCCAGGAGACCCCAGACGTCCAAGGACGCCCCCAAGACGCTTCGCGTCACCAATTTCTTCTCACAACGATTCCTGGGTCTGTGACTCGACAGAACCTAAGCGCGCGCGAAGCGCGCGCGTGGTTCTAGTACTATATACATGGCATCACATCGATTGTACCAGACATGGTTCTCCTTTTTGAAATTATCCCGGCAAAGCAACCTAACAGCGATATGTAGAAGCATATCTGAAAGCATTCCCCTTAAGATTCAGATGAAAATCCAGTTGTAGAATTCTGCTGTTCTCGCAGTCGTAGTCGCATTCGCGATGACAGTCGCAGCGGCAACGGCAGTCGCAGTTACAGCCTCAGCCTCAGCCTGCCTCAGCCTCAGCCTCAGCCTGCCTCAGCCTCAGCCTGCCTCAGCCTCAGCCTCAGCCTGCTTCAGCCTCAGCCTCAGTCTGCCTTCAGCCTCGGCCTCAGCCTCAGCCTGCCTCAGCCTCAGCCTGCATCAGCCTCAGCCTCAGCCTCAGCCTGCCTCAGCATCAGCCTGCTTCAGCCTCAGCCTCAGCCTGCCTCAGCCTCAGCCTCAGTCTGCTTCAGCCTCAGCCTCAGTCTGCCTTCAGCCTCGGCCTCAGCCTCAGCCTGCCTCAGCCTCAGCCTGCCTCGGCCGCAGCATCAGCCTGCCTCAGCATTCAAAATGTGGCCCAGGAATGGAGTTCTGGGAACTAGAAGAACACGAAGTGGCCTACAGTTGGCTCCGGGCATTCAAAATCATGCCCAGGAATGGAGTTCTGGGAACTTGAAGAGCACGAAGTGGCCTACAGTTGGCTCCGGGCATCCAAAATGTGGCCCGGGAATGGAGTTCTGGGAATCGAAGAGCACGAAGTGGCCTACAGTTGGCTCCGGGCATCCAAAATGTGGCCCGGGAATGGAGTTCTGGGAACTCGAAGAGCACGAAGTGGCCTACAGTTGGCTCCGGGCACTCAAAATGTAGCCCGGGAATGGAGTTCTGGGAGGTGGAAGAGCACGAAGTGTGTGACTGTTGACAAGAACGAGCCCGGCTCTGTTCCCGGTTCTCCAGAATGTGGCCCGGAATGGAGTTCTGGGAGGTCGAAGAGCACGAAGTGTGTGACTGTTGGCGAAAAGCGAGCCCGGCTCTGTTCCCGGTTCTCCAGAATGTGGCCCGGGAATGGAGTTCTGGGAGGTCGAAGAGCACGAAGTGTGTGACTGTTGGCGAAAAACGATTCCCGGTTCTCCTCCCCGGCACCCGCCCAGACCCCCCTGAGGAGTCATGATGTTCTCTTTTGACCATACTAGAAACCTATCAGCAAAAGCTGTTAGGTAAAAATGTATAGTCTATCACACCTCCCGAGGGCGGAATTAATTGCCTGCGCCTTCGTATTGCAATGTTCAAACGATTCTGCCCCATTGTCCATCCCAGATATGAACCATAGCATCGCAGCCAAACCGGTATTACCCCCCCGCCATACTCTGCTAAAATCATATGCGCGGCTTGCGAGACGCGCTGGGAGAAGTGTCCAGCGGTCAGCGCCACCGCGGACGCGCCGATCGCGACGAACTAGCAAGCCGCTGTGTGCGCGAGCATGTGCGGGCTAGCGCGGCCGCAGCAACGCACCAGACAGCTCCAAGCAGCCATCGCAATAGCTGCCGCATGGGTTGTGCAAACCGAGTTGCGGGTGGGTGGGCAGGTGGGATGATTGCGCGGGCATGTTGGGTGGTCAGGCGCGTGGACATCAAAAGCAGTGGCATCACGTAGATTGCTCCACATACACACACACATATATATATATACATATGTATGTATGTATATATATATATATACACAAATAGGTCCACTTAGACTGCAGAGCTTGCATTGCACCACACTGCTTGCGCAGAGTGTATCGAATCACGGAGATTGCTTCACATAAGTTGCACTACGTAGAGAAGAGCACCACATACATTGCACCACGTCGATTGCACAACATATGCCGCATATATACTGCACCACGCAGAATGCACCACATACACTGCACACCATAGAGTGCACGACAGAACATGCTCCACATAACTTGCCTAACTGGAACACGCTGTTGGGGGTCCATGCTGGCTAACTGTGTAGTGTGGTTGTCGGATATGATCTGGACTGGCGCACGCCTCCAAGGAGGACATGTAGGACTAGTATGTCCTCTTGCGTCCCAGTCCGAATGGCCAGGAAAGGCAAACAGGGGGTTGGGGAAGGAGTGCGGCAAGCGGGCAGGCAGGAGAGGCAGGGAAGGCGGACGGGGAGACCACGGCAGTCCTGGAACCGATTCTAAGCGCCACGGCGCCCATTGCACCGTCGGATCGTGCCAGCCTCTCACCTCTCACATGCTCCTGAGGTAATTGTGTGCGATACACTTCTTGCACAGTGTTCGTGTCGTGTGGGCAATGAGGCAGGAGGTCGGAGGAGGAAAAGGTTCCGATTCCACTGCCCATCGCCGGTTTTCCCTTGTTTCGGCTTCCTGGGAGATCCTCGTCTCCCTTTCTGGATTCGCCTCGGAATTCTGATCACAACGCACCCCAGAGGTCTGGGGAGTCGCGTATCGGTACCTTTTTGTTTCCCCAGGGGGAAGGGAGTCTGCCGTGGAGGAGATGCTGCCGCAGTTCAGCCACAGCATCGACGTGCTCTACCCGCACACAGACGTGCACCAGGCCTTCGAGAAGCAGACGGTGGATCTCCCCTCCTTGTGCGGACGTGGACACTCGCCTGCCGCAAAGCAAGCTTGTCTCTTGTTTCGGAGAGCGAGAAGAAGATTGGGTCCGAACTGGACCGCAGTCCTGCCATTGCTGCCCTGCCCTCGGCGGGGCCCGGAAACGGCAGGAACGTTTCCACCGTTTCCGGTAAAGTGTCTTTTGAAATTGAGAACAGCAACGGAAACGACAACCAGAAATTGCAAACCAACGGCTCCGGACTTGGAACCGGCACCGGAAGCGGCAACAACAGCGACGCAATTAGAAAAAGCACGCGCCAGAACCGGCAAACAAAAAGGGCAAATTGGAACCTGTAAAAAAAAAGTTGTCCTGTCGTTTCCATGGGGCCCTATTCGTAGCAGCTCATGGGAGCCTTGTATACCCTCTTGATTCCGTTTTTAGCGTCGACAGGCGTCTTGGGAGTCGATCGGATTGCGCCGATGTTGCGTCGATGGGCCTCGATCCAATGTGGACCAGCGTCGATGATCAGAGACCCGAATCATCAGGGGTAATTCGGGTCAGGGCTAACTCGGGTTCGTTTTTCGGGGCTCCGAACCCGAGTTGCCCCGGGCCCGAGTTACCCCGGATAACTCGGGCGTCCAGAGCCCCAAATCATCAGGGATAATTCGGGTCAGGGCTAACTCGGGTTCGGTTTTTGGGAATCCAAACCCGGCTTACCCTGGGCCCGAGTTACCCCGGATAATTCGGGCGCCCAAGATGAGCCGACAAGATGGTATGGGGCGCACCCCTTGAGTGCTCCCCCTCCTCGTCCTCCCGGCCCGCTTTCCTCTAGCCTTGGGCGCCTCTGGCCGTCTGCCGCTGGTCTGGGGCAGGGGCCTCCTGCTCCCGTCTGGAGCCCGCCCGTGGCCTGCGAGCGAGGGTCGCAGGCGGCCTTTGGTCTCCCCGTCCCCCGAGCTCCGCCCGAAGGGTCTGGCCGCTCGGAGCCAGGGGGGGGGGGGGGGGAAGGAGGAGGAGGAGGAGGAGGAGGAGGAGGAGGAGGAGGAGGAGGAGAGGAGAAGGAGGAACAAGACAAGGAACATGAACAGGAAAAGGAGGAGAACAAGCCTGGATTCAAGCGGGTGCCCAGAGTGCGCGGCGGCGGGCGGCGCCGATTTCATGCGCGGAATGAGCCGAACTCTCAATATGAGGGTCGACCGTGGATGTTTCAAATGGCCGTTCAGTTTGGTGGACCTCTCGGGTAGGATACATGTTTTTTGTTGGGTGTGGGCGCATTGCCCTTCAGAGTCCATGATCAGCGCAACTTGGCTGGCATCAAATTCGGCACTCCCAAAGGGCAACTGTGTGTCGACCGGCGGCCCGTTCGCGAGGAGGAGGCCCTGGGGTGCACCCGAAGGGGGCCCTTCGGGGGCGCCCTCATCGAGGATGCAGGCCGCCCCATCGTGCATCCCAGGGCTGGGCCCAAGATGTCTGGTCCACTCGGAAGCCTCACGAAGCCTGGGATGGGGGTCGACAGATCCCCTGTTGCGTAGAGGGCTTGCCTCCCAGGCCATCGCCTCGGCCATGCGGGGTCCAGAGGCGCACTCGCGGAAATACCAGCAGGCTCTGCGGGGGGGCTGTGCCTCATCCTCCCGCGCGGCAAGCAGCAGAGTCGAGGTTGGTTAGCAGGTCGGCCCTGCTAAATCAAGGGTTCCCTTGTTTACTGTGCTTCGCGACCCGTGCCTTTTACATTCCCACGGCAATGTGTTTCTCGGAAGGGTTTTGTGTCCTCTCGCGTGTCTTTCCCAATCAGTCCCGACTGCAATGGGCGTAGTGGGCAGGCAGGCCTCAGACACGCGCGGGTCTGGTGGACAGGACAGGATGCAGCGCTGCGAGTGGTCTCGCGCCTGTGCCCTTGTAGGGCTACCGCGCTATCACATGACGCGGTTGCAAGGTTGATACACCTAGCATTTGACTCGGGAGGTTCAGGACAATTCTTGTGTACGTCCTGGCCAAGCGTTTCCAGGGCGCCTTGCGAGAGTGCCCTACTGCACCTGCCCATGTCGCGACTATCTCTTGCTTCTGTTGAGCGTTCGACCTCGGGGGGCGGGTAGGGACCCGCTGCCACGGCTGGACGCAGCGCAAATGAGTGGCCAGTACAGGCTCAGGGAGGGCCAGCGATTCAAACAAGGGGATCATTCTCCCAGGGCGAGGTTGAACAGGTTGGCTACTGGATTGCCGCGTGTGGCCTGGAGCCTCCCCAGGGAACAGCATTGGCATACCACTGGCCAGACGGTCCATGGCCACAGGCTTTTGGGACCGCAGCGCTCTTGCGCCCGCACGGCGTCCCGCTGTCTGGGCACATTTCAGGTGCAGTCTTGGAGCGTGAAGCTGCCACTGGGCATGGGTTCTTCTGGATAGTTGAGCAGCTGATCGTGAACACCTCGCTTCGGCCCCTCGAAGATCTCCAGGCGCGATTGTTATGCGACTTTGTTTGGTGCACGCGTTTCCCCAGGGAAGCTAATGGGCTCATTGCTTTAGCTCCACTGGCACTGAGTAGCCGGCACTTCGTACAGCTCATGCATTCTTGATTATCCTCCACGTGTATCCCCCGCCGTGTGCCCACCCTCTGGTCGCGGTGTCGTCGTTCTCCTACAAACCTCCAGCCGCCCAGCTGAGCGGTCGCAGTGGCCAGCTGCTGTGACGGCCGCGCGGCTGGCGGCTGTTGCCCCTCCTCTTCCTGTCTCCGCTTCCTAGGTTTATGTCGCCCTGGGCAAGCAAACTGGTGACGGGGCGCGGGATATTCGCATATATGTTAAAAGTGCAGAAGAACAGCAAAGCGGAAGTACGAGTGTGAGCCAGAGGAACATGGAAGTATGAAAATAGTATGGGGAAAAGTATGTATCTAATTACCAAGGGTGTTTACCTTGTTTTTCAATCTTAAATTATTTCAAACTTCAGATCCGGGCGGTATTCTTTTCCAAAGTTCCCCATTTGTTTCAAGCTTACAACTCCGGGTGTATGTTTGCCCATGGCTTCTTTCGAACTGTTTTCAAGATTTGCTACATTTCTGAATCCGGGCGTACTTGCATTTCATGTTGCCAAACTTTGTCCAACTTCCAAATATGGGCGTACTTGTTTGTTCAGTTTCTTCACACTTTTCAGGCTTCCAAATCCAGGCGTCCTTCTTTCAAAACCGCTTTGAGTTTTGAATTATGTCCAAACGTTGTTCAAACATCTTTCGGACTTTGCTCGAATTTCTAAATGCGGGCGAACTCCTTCTAATGTGCCAACGTGTTTTCAAACTTCAACATCAACGAAACTTATCCCATTGCGACCCTACCTAGGAGTTGGAGACCCTAGGAAAGCAGCATTTGTAGTAACAGTCAAGCTAAGCTAAAGCTAAGCTAACGCTAAGCTGAAGCTAAGTTAAAGCTAAGCTGACGCTAAGCTAACGCTAAGCTAAAGCTAAGCTGAAGCTAAGCTAAAGCTAAGCTACAGCTAAGCTAAAGCTAAGCTGACGCTAAGTTAAAGCTAAGCTAATGCCAAGGTAGAGCTGAGCTAAAGCTAAGCTAAAGCTAAGCTACATCTAAGATAAAGCTAACCTAAAGCTAACCTAAAGCTCAGATAGAACTCAGCTAAAGTTCAGCTAAAGCTAAGCTATATCTAAGCACAAGCTAAGCAAACGCTAAGCTAACGCTAAGCTACAGCTAAGCTAACGCTAAGCTAAAGCTAAGATATAGCTAATACAATGCTAAGCTGAAGCTAAGCTAAAGCTAAGCAAAAGCTAAGTTAAGCTACAGCTAAGCTAAAGCGAATGTAACACCAAGCTAAAGCTAAGCTAAAGCTAAACTAAAGCTAAGCTAAAGCTAAACTACAGCTATTTTACAGCTAAGCTAAAGCTAAGCTACAGCTAAGCTAAAGCTAAGCTACAGCTAAGCTGAAGCTACAGCTAAGTTAACTCTAAAGCTAAGCTAAGCTAAAGCTAAGCTAAAGCTAAAGCTAAAGCTAAAGCTAAAACTAAAGCTCCCAGGGGACTGGGGGAACCGCGGGGTGGATACTGGGGGAACCGCCCGGGGCGGGTTACACTGCCTGGCCCTTTAAGCTTCCGAGTAAGAACCCTTCCAGGCAGAGCCTAGGTAGGGAACTTTTTCCAGATCCGGGAACACTCACACTCATACTTCGCCCGCTCAGTTTTTGTTTACATGTTTCAGATGTTTTATTGACAGAATCTTAAACGAAGACAAACACAGAATTCAACAGTTTGATTGCGGCGAAATGATTCTAGGTGTTGTCAATGCCATGCATCTCCCCATCATTGCATACGCCAGTTCCCGCTGGCCCCTCTTGCGCACCCGTGACACGTGCAGCTCGTCTTCAATAGCGTGCGCTGTACGGGCCGCACGTGCTGGCTAACCGTGGGGCTCAGCGCAGGCCCACCTCGTTCTCCCCCGTTTGTCTGATTTCTTCGCACTATCTGGTGAAAAAAAGGTCGTGCGCGTGCTGATGGCGTTCAGGTCGGAGTTTTACGAAGGGTTGTAGTGTACACAGGCCTGTATCTGCCAGCGCGCGATGGTGGTGTACGCAGGGTGGCCCCTGTGTTGACAATGATATGCGCTTGCTTGTGGTGGTGTAGGTCAGCATGTGCTGTACACAGGACAGTGCTCGCGTAGTTACACACGCCGTGCGGATGCGATGTATGGGGATTTGTGGCTGTGGTATGCATAGACGTGCGCTCATGGTGTACACAGAGCCGTGTGTACGTAATTTGGCGAGTGTTTTGCCCAATGTTGTGTGAATGTGCAGAGTCCTGTGGCACATACCGGCCATTGGAGCCTATGGTGTACACGGGCCTGTGGCGGTATACTAAGTCTTGATGGTTTCCAAAGGTCATTGTTCGTGGTGTACCTTTGCGCTAGCCTTCGCTGCTGACCAAAAGCAGTGGTTACGTAGTGTTAGCTAGCGTTCACCAGTGGTCTTCGTAGCAGAGCACTCCAGTGTATCGAAGACGCCTACGGCGAATCACGGCCGCCCCCTGCCTTGCAGAATACGCCTACGTGGCCAAACGTTTGGGCAAAGCTTGGCCATGCAATTGGACCATGCGTTCCCCCAGCCTTTGTGGAAGCCCTTCGTGGACACGTGGGGAAGAGGAGGATGAGGAGAGACAGAAAAAGGGTAATGACGAGCAGATCATGGAGAACTCTTGGGAGCTTCTCGGTTCATTCTTGGGGCCCGTAGAGAGCTATGGAGGCCTCTTGGGGTCATCCTTGGGCGTCTCTGGAGGCCTGTTGGGGCTTGTATTGCCATCTTACGGCGTTCCTGGCCCGTCGGACGCCGTCGGAAGCCGTTTTGGGAGCACTTCCGGGCCGTCTTGGGGCCCTCTTGGGGCGCCTCAGGGTCGTCTTGAAGGCAATCTCGGGCGTCTTGTGGGCCGTCTTGGGAGCCTCTTGGGCCGTCCCAAGATGGCCTATTGGACGATATTGGGGCATTATTTGGGGCCTTCTGGCCCGTCTTGCACCGTCAGAAGACCGTCTTGAAGCAAATGCTGACATCCTTCAAACACCTGAGGACAATCTATGATGTTGGCCTCTTCGGGCCTTCCTGTAGGACCTCTTTGAGGCCTCTTGGATCGTCTTAGGGGCCTCTTGGGCGCTCCTTGGGCCGTCTTGGGCTCTCCTGGGCTATCTTGGTTGTCTTGGAAGCATTTTGGGACCGTCTTGGAGGCCATTTTGAGGCTATATTGGGCTCTCCTGGGGTCATCGAGGCCGTCTTGGAGGCATCTTGGAGGCCATTTGGGGCCACCTTGGTTGTCTTGATGGCGATTGAGCCAACGGAGTTGGCTGGCGGGCTGGGCCGAAGCCTGCGGGCTGGGCCGAAGCTCCACGGGAAGTTCTTTAGAAAAGCACCAACAACCTGCCAGACATTTGGCGCGCCGTGCACCCTCTGGCACGTCCGCAAGGGGCGGCGCGCACAGTGGCGTTGTGCTCATTCCACTACCGCGCCTGAATTGTGGGTCAGAGTCCTCAGGGATGCCTATTGGGGTCTCTTCGGAGCGCATTCGGCAGCCTCTTCGGAGTCTCTGCGGGGACTCTTCGGAGCCTCTTGGGGACTCTTCAGGGTTAACTATTGGGGCCCTCTTGGGGTCCTCTTGCGGCTTCCTGGAGGATTCCCGGGGCCGAGGGCTCGAAATGTCTCTTCGGATCCTTCGTATGGACCCCCTCTTGGAGCCATCTTCGTGCCCTCTCGGGCCGTCTTGGAGGCCTCTTGGGGCCGTCTTGGGCCGTTTTGGGGCACCCTTGGAGGCCTCTTAGGGCGATTTTGCGTGCATCTTCAGATGCCTTGGAGCGTCGGGGAGCCGAAAAGACGAGAACGCCGACACCCTTCAATCACATGAGTGACATCAATGATTCGCGCCTCTTGGTGGAGGCCTCTTGGGGCGTTTTGAGGGCAACTTGGGTCGTGTTGAGACGATCGTGGGCGTCTTGGAGCGATCTTTCGTCGACTCGGGCTCCTCTTGTACGGTCCTGGGGACCTCTTGGGGCCCTCCTGACCTTTCTTAGGAGCTTGTCGGATCCGAACAAGTTATGCGACAAAACGCGTCGCGCCCTATAGGGCACGCGAGGAGCCCTGGGAGATCTGACAATGTGTGGTCTGGGCCCTTTCTACATAAGGTCCAGGGCCCTGAGGACGGAGGCTGAAGGTCTGAGGCCAACCCCATGAGGACACTCGAACTCGTGCCTCAGGGCACGGTGGCGGGTAAGTGCCTGTGGCGTGCGATGGCCTGTGGTGGTGTACGCAAGCCATGTGGTGTACAGAGCGTGGTGTACACGTGCCTGTGGTGTCTGGCCACAGGCGCGCGCGTGTGCGTGCACAAGCCTGCAGTGGTGACAGCCTGTTGCGTGCACGGTCCGTTTGGCCTCACGCCTATCATTGCGGAGGTCCTGGGGGCGCGTTGCAGGGGTGCGTTTCTGCTTCCCCGCGTCGTCACCCGCACAAGGTTCGCTACGCCTACGAGTAAGAGCGCACTGCCAGTGCTCGCGCAATTTGAAATGCACGGCGTCGCATCTCCGAGCCCGCCAGTGGCCCACATCGCCACGCTGACCAGAAAGTCCAAGGGCAGGTGCGCCCTAATTGCGCACGTCTGCACTGGCCGCCACCAGCAAGGAGCGTCAGGACCTGACCCCGCGATTGAGTATTGTTGTTCTGCGCTGGAACTTCGTAGCTTTTTCGGCGCATGACCCAGAGGCGACGGCCGCCGCGCGCGCGGCCATCCTCTTGTGGGGTTCCGCCTCCACGTCCAGGCTCCACTTAACGTTGTTATCGTGGAATTGTGCTCGCGCAGGTGCGGCTGGCGGCACCATGGGGCAGAGCCCATGCTTCCGCATGTTTCAGAACGACGGGGACTTGGACGAGAGGACTCCGCTGAGACTGCCGCCGCAGCAGGTGGTGCAGGGCGGCTTGTCGCTGGCGCCGCAGCAGGTAGTGCAAGTACAAGGATCTAGCTCGGGCTCGCCGCACGCCTTGGGCACCCAGTTCCCGCAGCCGCCCCCGGCGTCGCGGCAGTTGGATCCCCATCCGCCGTTGCACACTCCGTGGGCGCAGCGCAGCAGCGCGCCGATCCCTGGCGCTGGCGCTGGCGGCGAGCTGGACGCAGTGCACGGGCCACTTTCGGGAGTCGCGGCGGAAACCGCCTGCCACACTGCGGGCCCCCCCAGCGCTTTCGGCCCCCCGCAGCCAGCCGTTGCCAGCGAAGAGCCCCAACTCCCTCCCGCCGCTGCGCCAGCCACCGGGGCGCCGCAGCAGGCGGAAACTGCCGGCCACGGAGGCGCCGCGCAACCGGGTGTGCAGTTGGTGGCGGAGCTGCCAGGCAGGAGGCGAAGCCTGCTAGTGGGTATTAACTACTTCGGCACGTCTTCCGAGCTCAGCGGGTGCGTCAACGACATCCTGCGGGTGCGGCCAGTCCTGGCCGAGAAATGGGGCTTCCAGCAGGGCGAGGAGACGCAGCGCGTGCTCCTGGACTCACCAGACTGGCCGCAGCACCTGCGACCGACTCTCGCGAACATGCGGGCCGCCATCGGCTGGCTCGCGGCTGGCGCGGCAACGGGCGACGCCCTGTTCTTCCACTACAGTGGGCATGGGGGCCGAGAGCCACGCTGCGACGGCTCAGAGGGCTACCACGAGACGCTCTGTCCTGTGGACTACGAGACTGCGGGCATGTTGGTTGACACCGAGCTCTTCGATAGGCTGGTCAAGTCACTGCCGGCTGGCTGCAGGCTCACCTGCGTGCTGGATTGCTGCCACAGCGCTGGGGCTCTCGACTTGCCTTACGTGTTCGTGGGCTCCAAGGAGAACCTAGACAAGGCCCTGGCGGGGGAGGCAATGGACCTGGCTGTCTCCAAGAACTGGGCCCACGACATGGCCGGCTTGTCCGACGGAAGGCCTGAGGCTCTGCTCGGCGATCTGGCCTCCATGGGCCTTGGCTTGTGGGAGCTGTACAGGATCAGGAGGGAAAAAACACAGACACAATTAATCGTCGATTCCCCCGAAAATATGGAAACATATGGGAAGTGGGGGGGAAGACAAAAACCCAGAAAATATGGGAAAATATGGGGGATATTTTTATTTGTGTGTATTTATTTGTGTCTCCTGGGGCCCCTTCACAGGAAGCGGCAGGCCACCAAGGCGGCCGGCGTTGCTGGGTTCGCAGGCTCGGAGGCGGCCGAGAACGCCGGCCTGGCCGTGGGAGAGGTCATCGCCTTCACTGGCTGCCGCTCCGACCAGACCAGCGCGGACGTGGGCGACGTGCACGCGCAGTTCGACGGCGTGCGCCACGTGGACGACGGAGGCACCGGCAGCTCAGGCTGCGGGCATGCAGGCGCCCACGTGGGCGACCACGCGGGAGGCGCCCTGACGGCTGTCTTCCTGGAGTCGCTTGCCGACGGCGCCTCGGGGGAGCTCACGTACCTGTCGCTGCTGGAGCGCATGCGCCAGCGCCTGCAGGGCGAGGGCTTCTCGCAGGTGCCGCAGCTGGCCTCCTCGCTGCTCGTCGAGCTGCAGCAGCGCTTCTCGCTCACGTCCATCTTCCTGCCTCCCGCCGGGGGCTCCCGCGGCCTCGGCGCCGGCGGCGGCCTGGATGCCACGGACGCGGCGCTGCTCGGAGGCACAGCCTCGTGCGCAGCTGCAGGCTTCCTGGCCGCCATGGCGTCGTCGCACCACGGAGGGGCGATGCTGCAGGGCGCCCGGGCGCCCGCCGAGTGGCGCGCCGAGGGCGGCTGCCCGGAGCTCTCGGCGGGGCAGCCGCTGCACGCCTGGGGCGGCGGCTGCGACAGGGACGCCGCCGGCTCCGCGGCGCCGCTGGAGCCCTGGGGAGGAGGCGGCAGCGTGCAGCCGCCCGCGGACGCGGCGGGGCCGCCGCAGCCCTGCGGCATTGCCGACGCCGCCGCCCCGCTGTCGGCCTGGGGCGCCAGCGCACCAGGCGGCGCGGAGGTGCAGGCGGGCTCCGCGGCCCCGCTGTCGGGCTGGGGCGCGGGAGCCCCGGCCAGCGCGGAGACGCAGGCGTCAGAGGAGGCTGAGGAGGCTGAGAAGGCTGAGGAGGAGGAGAGGGAGGAGGACGAGGAGGAGGACTCAGAGGAGCGGCTCGACGAGGGCCTGGACCCGGATGACCTCGACGAGGACGACGAGGAAGAGGACGCCTTTCAGGACTTTGACGACGATGAGGACGACGACTACGACGACGAGCTCTGAGCCCGCGGGAAGGGTAGGCGATGGCGCGATGGCCAGCAGACCGCCGTGTGGAGCCAGATGGTGAGGTAGCGCTGGCTGGACCAGTTGTTTGTAGGGGTTCAGCTGCAGGCTCAGCCGCGAATGGCCATTTTCCAGCAGCGCTGCAGGACTGCCTCGGCGAGACTAAAGCGGTCCACTAAGCACGCCGATTGAGCGAAGCTCCACAAAGAGAAGTATGGGGCGAGGTGTTCTTTCCAGCCCCAGGGCTATCCAGCCCTCCACTACCCTGCCACCGTCCCGCAGGGAGTTCCGTGGGAATGGGTCCTCGACCCTGGAGCTTTCCCGAGGCCCCATAATGATGCACTCGCTTCCTGAGGCTTCCCTGATGCCAGGCCCCCATTGCGTCTTCGTTTCAAGGCTGCTTTGGCTACTCTGCACACGGGCGGGTGCGATTGGGCAGTTGCAGTTTGCTACTCCGTCACACGCTGCGGCACAGTCACGCCGTGGTGATAATGTGTAGTCATCGAGGTTGGAGTCACTCATCATCGTTGAGAGGAGTTGTTCATATAAGGAAAACATGATGCCAGGTCCAAGGAAGGCCTCCAAGGGCCCTGCACCCATGCCCTCAGAACCACCTCTTTTCTGGACCCCCTCCATCGTGGCAGTCTTCCTCGCCCCCCCGCGCGCCCCCTCGTGGTGCCTCCTCCGCGGGCTCCCCGTCCGTGGCCAGCCTGGGAGCGAGAGCTGGCTGCGCACGCATGGGCGAGTGCCCCTCCGGCGCTCGGCTCTGACGCGGACGGGTGCGCCAGCACCCCGCTCCCGCGGCTGGCGCGGGGTCTCCCCTCGCTCGGCACGCGTCTACGGCCAGGAACCTGCGTCGCGCCGCCAGTTCTGCCCCCCCACGCGGCAGTGCAACACGCTGACCGCGTCCCCGTCCCCAGGCATCAACGCTCCGAGCCTCTCCCAGCCTCCCGTCCCGCGGAGCGGAGCGACCCGCTGTCAGCTCGAAGCATGGCGTGCCGCCTGGGCCGCCGCCGCGAAAGGCGAATGGCCGTGCCCAGCTCTGAGTGGGCCCCGGAAACGGCAGGGCAGTTTCATTGTTGTTTTAGAAGAATGTCCCTGGAGCGTGAAGACGGTAACAGAAGACAGACAAGCGGTTCTCGGAAGCGGAAGTAACGGTTCTGGGATCGGAGTTGGAACCGGAATTTGAAACAGAAAGCGGCGACGGAGTTGGTAGCAAATCGCTCTTGGCAAATAGACTGAAAAACGGAACGGGTAAAGCACAACGGCTCTGTCGTTCCCAGGGCCCACGAAGACCCATGCCGTGTTGGTCTCCCGCCTACTTGTGCACTTCACAGCTCCTCGGAGATGTCCGCCAAAAAGGCTCCAGGCGCTCGTATCTCCCAATCGGCCACTTGATTTTGATCGTTTGGTTTTGTGCGTCCTCGAATCCCCCTCTTTAGAGTGCACTGGTGGGTGGCAGCATCTGGTAACCGATGTCAACGCGCCAGTTCAGCGCTGTTCAGCGTGGAGTGGGCGTCGATGTGCGTCAGTGAGCTCCGGCCAGCGTCGAGCCGCAGACCCAGCGAGATGCCACGGGAGGCTTCCACGAGTGGCCGCGCTCCCGGGCGCCCGGACTCCAAGAGGGCAGCTCTCGCGCATCGCACGCCGAGCCCGCTTCCCCGTGCCCTCCGCGTACAGCCGCCTCCCGCTCCCCGCAGCTGCTGAGCTCCCTTCCGAGGCGCCCTCCGCGCAGCATACCGTCCCTCTCCCGCCTACCCCGTGCCCTCCGCGCGGCCCCCGCGGAGGCGGCGTTCTTCTCCGGCTTCGTCGCGCACCACCCGCAGGGCCGGGCGGAGGCGCCGCGGCCCCTCCCGCGGTCCCGGCCTCCTCGCGGCCTCCCGGGGCTGGCGGCGCGCCCCGGGGGGCAGCGGACGATGCTCGGAAGAGGGGAGGGGGGGGGGTGATCGTGGCATCGCTCGGGCGTGTGCCCTTCTTCTGGGCGAGGACCATCGGGGCGCATCCCAGATCATCGAGCCCAGAGAGCACGCACGAAGCCGAGCGGTGCACGAGGCATGGACGTCCGAGCCACGGCAAGTGCTAGGGGACCCGGACTTCCTTTCGGCGGCGAGCCCAGAGGGGGACTGCAGAGGGGGCAGGCCTCCGCAGAGGGCCGGGAGGGCCGCGGGCCCTCCGATCGATGCTCTGCGCCCTCCCCGAAGGCGCAGCACACCTCTTGGCGGGCGCGAGGCCTTCTGAGAAGCCCCGCGAGGCCTCCTAAGGAGGCCAGCCCTCTCTTGCTTCCCCCGTGGGCTCGCCGCGGACCCCCGGGCCACGCAGCAGTAGTTAATTACCGACGGAAGAGTTCGGCAGCATTCCTCCCGAGCATTTTCTTTAGGTGGAGGGCGAAGGGTGAAATCTGACATGGTGTTTCGATGGATGTTCGAGGCTTGAGCCTGCAAAAGGTGAATCACAAGACGGATTGATCTTCGAGGTGCAAGTGCCCATCTGGATTTCGCCCGGAACCCTCCACCCTAAGAAAATGCTTAGTCTTCGTTTCCGGAGGCTCTCCCAGCCTCGGGCTGCTCTCCAGCGGCTGCACCTCGCCGATCGGGCGCTCCGCGGGTGCCCGCGGAGCGTCCCGAACGGACGCCGGCGGCCTGATCGATGACCCGGAAGGTCCTCCTCGTCCTCCTCCTCCTCCTTCTCCTCTCCTCCTCCTCCTCATCCTCCGTAGCCATTTTGGCTCAAGGTCCCTTGTGGTCTGGCAGATATTTGCATCGTTCCGCGCTCGGGTTGGTGGGTAAACGGAGGCGTTTCCCGTTCCTGCCTGCCCGAACGCCCTTAGTTCCTCAACCACTGTACATTCTCATCCGCTCGCTGCTGGCAACCCACGCGGAGCAATGGAGCTCCGATCCCAACCGCAGTAGCAGAAGGGCATGAGCCCGTCGCCGACGCTGGGAAGATAAAGCTCGTCGCCGCCGAGATCGACGCAGTGAGCCATCATCGTCGGATTCTTGCAGCAGGGACTCTGAGCCTCGTCTGCGCGATGCACGTGCCGATGACCGCTGTTATGCGAGCGCTCCTTCTCATGGCGCTGGCGACCACCGTGCTCCCGGCGCTGTGGACTACCCGCGGCTCACTCAGGGCCTCGCGAGTGAGATTGAGGCTGCGCCCAAGTTCCCTGAGCACGAAGAGCGCGGTGATCGAGCTGCTCATCTGCCTGGGGCGGACCCAGGGCGCCAGGCGCATGCGCCAGCTGGTGGACCTGCCCTCCCTGCTGGGACTCACGGCGGTGCCGCTCCTGCTCCTGATGCTAGTGACGGCTCTGCTGCAAGTGGGATCGAAGCTACGGTCACGGCTGCGTACTCGCAACAGAGGGATGGGATCCGCATCGAGATCAGCAACATCATAGACCCCGCGCATCGGGACATGCGCACCACGGTGGTGGGCCTCCTGCAGCCCCAGATTGCTCGTCTCGACAATCACGACAGCGAGATTCATCAATCTCAGGAGCGGATTAAGGCCGCTGAGGCGCAGCAAGGTGCTCTCCGTGCTGACACGGATGAGGTGCAACGATCGCTGGCGAAGGCACGGGTTGCAAAGTCTGGCGCAGTGTACTTGGCGCGACTGGCATCGTACGACAGGCCACCTGAACCGAGTGTCTTCAGAACGGGATGTGCCCAGGCGGCCGCCAACAGCGAGATCAAGTAGGGCGCCTCGCAGTGGATCAGGGACGCGGGCATTAACGACGATCAGTTCGCGTTCCACGGTCAGTGTCCTGGCAAAGCTTTCTGCCATCATCTTCCTGGGGGTGCTCATGGTGTGGCGCGGGCGATCAAGCTCGCCTAGCATCTCCAACTACCTGGTGGGACCTGGCGGCGGCCCACAGCAGCGGCAATCAGCGGCGCGACCGACGCGATGTACATCAACCCAGACAAGGAGCCAAGGCAAGCGTGACAGGAATTGCAAATTAGAAGTTTGTTGTCACCCTTCAACGACATTATCCAGACAGGGACTCCCGGTCTCTTCGAACACGTAGTCTCATTTGTGCCGACGCCGCCCCGATTGTCGAGGTCCTCTCTCAAGGTGCAAATGAAGCAGCAAAACTGGCATGGTCCCCAGATGGAGCGGCTCAATTTCGTATCAACATCATGCATATGGCAGAGGATTTCAGGCAACAGTTCTCGGGCGTGGACGCTTCAGATTGGACTCCTTCCTAGCAGGCGCTGGCTTCCCTGGGAGGTCGAACAGCGTATGCCCCAAGAGCTTCGGATGCTCTGTTGGAACGTCTGGGGCCTGTGCTGCTACAGTCACAAACATCGTCGACCGAAGTTCGCCAAACTCCCACATTTTTTCTTGTCTCGTCATGCCATCATGTTTCAAGAAGTTCACGCCGAAAAGTGCCTGCAGACCGGCCCCGACAACCTGGTGTAGCTGGCGCTCCAGTCGGAGTACCGCGAGTTGGTGAGGCGGCCCAACCAGGAGCGCTTCGACGTGATGGCGCAGCAGGCAGCGAGGCCCGCAGCGAGGCGGCCTCGCCCTGGACAGGGTGATGATCACCTTGCTGGACCCACGGACGTGGTCAAGCTCCAGTGGGCTTCGATGCGGCAGGCGCTAGCGTGGAACCCGACCAGGCGACATCTCCCCCTTCCACGGCTTGAAGCGCATGCACGACGGGAACTTTGAGGGGGAGTGCAACGCGACCGCCATGGCTGGCTTGATCAAGCAGCACTGGGAGCCCATCTACGCGGAGGCCTCGAGCTCTGAGTTGAAGCCCCCGCTGACCTCACTGAGTGCGTGCGCGATGCAGTCGTCCTCAGGTATGCCCCAGGGATGTCCACCGAATGACACATTGTGGGCCCTGGGTATGGACACGATGTGCAGGCACCTGTCCGCAACATGTGAGCGAGGCTCGCAGGTCCTGGAGCCTGTGCCCTGGCCAGCAGGCTCGAGTGTTGGGCGAACCGAGCAGATTGTCCCCTCTCCTCCCCGCTGCCTCTGTGCTGGTGCCTTTGCTGATGATGATTGTTCCCTCCTGCCTCTCCTCCACCCCTCATTTCAAGCTGCTTCTGGTCTTGCCTGCCTGGATCACCAGCCCAAGAAATTTTGCATCGCCCCAACCTGGGCAACTCCTTCTGAAGCAGAGGTAACCGCGCCTCGAGCTGCCGCGTCGGCCCTGGCCCCTGAATGGACTGAGCTTGAGATCTGCAGTTTCAGTCGTTACCTCGGGGTTCAACTTGGCCCAGGAGCGACGGCGCAGGACCAGGGCGCCCCTGGCGGGCAGAAGTGGTGGGCCCGCTGCCGAATGGTAGCAGGCACGCGCGCCCCTACTGATGCATGCCTCCGCCTTTATCGTCCCCCCATTCTCTCTCCCCCCCTGCCCATCCTTCAGAAAGAGGCGCATGCTTTGCATCGGCTGCGTAGATTGCCACCCTCGTCCTTCGGATTCAAGGAGCTGCACTCGCTCCGTGGGCCCTGCGCCCCTGAGCCCATGCAGAACCTTCTCCTCTCGTGCGTCTGGCGGGCTGTAGGACGCACGTGCAGGGGCTGGCGGGGTGCATTGCAGCGCCTCCAACTCAGCCTCGGCCGAGGGATCCCCACGGCGTGTCCCGGCAGGAAAGTGGCGCGCTCCGTGCTGGAGGACCCAGGAGAGCATAGTACAGCGATTCTCTACCTGTTTCTCTCCCCCATCCGTCCTCTGACCCTGGTTCCCCCACTCGGCCCCCCCCCTCGCTCGCTCCATCCTCATAAAAATGCATGCCGATCCGACTGCAGAAGCGGAGCTGGCCCTCTCGCGCCATAGACCTCCGCGGCTCCAAGAGCAATAATTCTCGGGCCCCCCATTGCTATGCATCCCTGAGGGCAGGCCCCTGCCTATTCCGCGGCGCATGTCCAAGTGGTTTCCTCTACTCCCTCCCCCCCCGCTCCTCGAGGTCGGTCGTCGTTGGAGTCTTCTCCGCCCCGCCCTCGCCCGATCCACGCCCTCCAGGTCCCGGCCCCAAATGAAAACCTTCTTCGGGGGCCAGGATCCCTAGCGGGAGGGGGAAAATGCTACCTCAGAGCATGTGTCGACTCGGATGCCAAGGCTCGGACGGAACCGCTCATTTCATCATGCGCCCACACGTGGGCTGCGCCCCCCCCCCCCCCCCCCCCTCCCCAAGCCACGTCATTCCTTTCCCCCGTTTCCTGGGCTCGTCTCGGGATGGGGGGTGAGTCGATTATGGCGGCTTGGAGGGTGGCAGACAGCGGGCCCACGAGTTGGTGTCCATCTGCTTCCACATTTACCACTTGCTGCGGAGCGTTCTGCAGCCCATGTCCGCCGCCTCGGCCGCGCAGGTCGATCAGGTGCGCGCCGCGGCCCGTGCCGCTTTCTCATTGTAATCGCAGCGCAGACCTCCCCAAGGTACGTGCGCTCCTCCTCCTTCTCCTCCTCCTCCTCGTCCTCCTCCCCTCGCCATCCCCCTCCTCCTCCTCCTCCTCCTGGCTGTGCTGCCGCCTCTTGGGCTATTCGCCCACCGACCCGCCGCTGGAGAACATGGGATGCTTCACGGCAGACGTTCTGGGTGCCAGCCAGGAGCGTGAAGTCCATATTTCGCGCGCAGCTGGCGATCTCCGCAAGGCGAACGCCAGTCGCCCACATTGGGTTCCAGCCCAGCACCCGTAGCTTCGTCACGTCGGTGGTCACCACCCCGTCCGAGAGCGACGACCGCACTGTCGAAGAGGCGCCATGGGCTGCATACTGAATTCGGAAACTCGGACCCCGCTGATTCGAATCTCTCGAACCCATGGGCCAACGCTAGTGCTGGTGTATCCAGTCTTCTTGGACGTGGTTTTCGTGAACATCATGTTCGTCGTGTATACCCCAGCCCACAAGACGTGGGCGGACGCTGCTTGGCGGCGAGGATACGCCAAGGCGTCGTGGACGTGTGCGCGGGCGCGCTCTACTTTCTTCCCCAGCCGCGCTGTCGCGGGGCAGGCCCACGTTGCACTAAGACGGTCGCCAAGATGATCCAATGGTGGCGCACTTGTTTATCACAGTTACCGGCGCGCTGCCTCCCACTGTTCTACGCCGACGTCAATGGCGGACTAGGCTGCCGCAAGATCGACGGCGATTGGACGGACTATGAGACGAATGCTAGTGGTAGAGAACGGCGCCGACTGGGGGCGGGCGAGGCGGTGGGGGATCTACTCGCGCAGCAGCATCTTTTGGCGGCCAACGCGATGAACAGGTACGAGGCGACCTTCTTCGGCAATGGGCCCGAGGGCCCGAGCAGTATCATCGATTTCGTTTTTCTCCCACAGGGCTGGGCGCCCCACGTAGTCAAGTGCCACACGTTGCACAGAGTGGGCGCCTAGCTACAGGCCCAGAGAGGCCGACCACCACGAGGCCACGTGCCAGCATATCTTGAAGTTTCTCACCCACGGGGACGACGTGATTGCCAGGACCAACCAGCCACGGCAAAGTGGGATATGACAGCGCTCATGGCGGCGGTCAAGAACGGCGACCAGCGTGTGGACTTCGTGAATGGTGTCGCTCAGTGGTTGGATGACCACGCCGAGGAGCGCATCACGGCCAACGACCAGGACGCCCCCGATCACACCTTTGAGCTGCTGGGGCGCTGCATGGTCGAGGTTGGCTCCGAGTACTTCGCGAAGCCGACGGACCTCCCCGACGAATGTGCGCACTGGGCGAAGCTGAGGAGAGACCTGCTCCAGAAGAGGATCGACATGCGCGCCTCGCGCGCGACCGTGGGCGACGCCGAGCTGGAGCAGCTGGAGTACGACCTCCGCGATCTCTCCCAGCGCCTCACACTCCTTCGACGAATGCATGTATGTGCTGTGAGGGAGTCCTACGTCCAGGCCTCATGCGACGCTTGGGCCCAGAGGAACCTCTGCGAGGCCATGGGCTGGGCCCGCCGTGCTGCCCGCTGTCGTTTTTCGGCGAGAAGACGGGGCGGGCGGCGTTCCGGCGGAGCTCCCATCACGCATGAGGAGTGGCTCGCCGTCTGGCCCCCCCCCCCAGGCGGCGACGGCGGGGCGCAGGCCCGCCCGATCGACTTAGGCGCCTGGCGCGCCGCTCGAGGTGATTTGGACGTGAATCGGATTTATGACATGGCCCGCAATGAGGGCCGCCCCCAGCAGCTAGGAGACAATGATATTCAACGCCTTCGCAGATACGTTCGTCGGTCCCCGAAACGCCGTGCTGTTCCCGAAGGATCGGCCCCACTCGAACTTTGGTGGCAACTCCTTCACCCTGAACGAGGTATGGAACGCCAGCGCCCTGGTCTTGGAGCCCCACGAGCCCCCGAAGAGCCCGCGCAGTTTCTGGAGACCCTCCTGGGCGGGATGATGAACATCAGGATCACCGACCTGACCCCCGACTGGAATATAAGTCGGGGGTGTGCCTTGTGCAAGTCGGCCCAGCTTGGGCCTATAGTCCACGTGCTTCCAGTTGTGGGGGAATCCTTCTTCGCGGAGTTGTTGCCCAATGAGTTGCCTCCTGAAGGTTGCGGGTTCCAGCGTCGTCGTCGTCGGGAAGGAGCCATCATGGCCTCGCAGGTGGTGGGCTGGAGACTTCGACGGGCCGGGTGGAGCTTTGGAGCCAGTCTGAAGGATATGAGTAATGCGCTCGGGTGCTCTAGCTGGGAGGCCATGGGCCATGCCAGATCTACTATTGTACAGCCTGAACATGTTGCGCTTTGTAAGAATAGGTATCGTGATGCTGTCGTTCTACTTCCTAGTGGTGAAGGGGACCTAGCAGTAAAGACAGGAGTGGGAGGAGTCATGGGGGATCAGTTCCTGGTGACCGCTTTCTCCACCACCTTCTGCCACCCTGTGTTGATGTGGACGGACGCTCTGCGCGAGGCCGATCCGCCCCTCAGGCTCCCCCGCGCAGAATGGGACGGCCAGGAGGTCGACCTTCGCTTGTGCAAGTATGCTGACGATCTTTTCCGCTACACTCCCATTGTGCATGGAGGCTCCATGGGGAGTTTCCTGGCCAAGCTCAAGTATTCAGATGACTGTCTCGACTCCATCCTCCAGGACTACGGGTGCAAACAAAATCGGGAGAAACAGGAGTTGGCCGTCTGGATCGAGGGGGAGGGGGCCCTGGCTTGCAAGATGTGGCTCCGCGGGCCTGGTCGGGCGCTCCTGTCGGGGGAAATCAAGGGGGAAGTCAGGTATCTTGGGCCCCACATCGCGATGTCCCAGGCGCCCGGCCAGGAGATTGCACGCCGTCACCAGGCAGCTCGCGCCGCTTTCTATTCGATGGGCGGCTTCTGGTCTTTGCGGCTGTCGTGGAAGTTCACGCGCTTGATTTTCATGTCTTTGGTTCAGAAGTCAGCCTTGTGTGGCCTGGAGGCCTTCTTGATCACCAAGCATCAGAGTGACAGTTTAGATGCCACGGTGGCGCACTTCGCCCGCGCGGCCATGCGTGGAAGGGCCAGCTGGCAGACAGAGTCTGGAGCGACCCGCACGTTGACGACAAAAGGAGTCTTCAGGCAATGACGCATCTGTGAGACGCACATCGAGCTCGGGATTCGTCGTCTAAATTGGTGCAAAGTTTGGCCCCGCCACCCGTCCTGCCACCCCCAGTTGCTCTCCGCTCTCTTCGGCTCCGTGGCCTTCGAGAAAGGCATGGCCCCCATGGCCGACGGCGCGCTCGCTTCAACGGCCTCTCCGCGTGGGCCAGACGCGTCGTTGATGATCTCCGAAGGGCCCCGGAGCTCCTCCCAGACCACGGTGATCTTCTAGGATGTCTCGCCGCCCGCCCTGGCCCCCTGCGGGGCCCTGAGGTTCAGTGCGAGTTCGAGAATATCGTTTTCACGGCTATTCGATCATGTGCGTTCGGTTCGCGGTTCGTGCCCCCGGAGTACACGGAAAAAGGCTCCAGAGGATCCGTATGAGGAACTCTTGGACCCCGATGCTCCCAAGTTCGTCTGCCTTGTCGCTGAATGTGGTGAACGTTCTACTACGAAACAGGGTCTCATAGCACACGTGCGTTCTCAACATGATTATCGATCGTTGTGCCATGTCCTCACACCATGCAATGCATGTATATGCTGTCGGGAAGTCTTCTGGGGCAGGGCTTGCGCAGCTCGGCATCTAGTACTAGCCGTGCAACGGAGACATTGTCGTTTCGGTGGGGGTAGGGCGCTGCGACCTCCATCACTCCCGTCGACCCTGCAGCGCCCCCTATGCGAGTTCGAGGCCTCTGACTTGGACCCCCTATGCCGACATCTACGCAGCCATCTCCCTGGCCCAGTTCTCCCTCGGAAGCGCCGCCGCCTCGCGGACGCTCCGAGCGCCGCCCGAGGCAATGTCCCAGGTGGTGGCGGCGAGCTGGACGCAGGGGCCTTCGGCGGCAGTGAAACGTGGAGCAGATGGGGCCCACGGCTCGGCGCCACCAGCCAAACAGGCCGCCAAGGACAGCAAGAAGAAGGAGAAGGGCGACCTGCAGGCTGCGCCGTTGAAGATTGCAACAAAGCTGCGCCTCAACGACGCGCGCGAGCTGGCCAACCTCGCGGGGGCAATCTACCAGACATGGGGGACTACCGAGACCGCGGCCTCTTTTACGCAGATCATGATCGACGCGGGGTTCAAGTACGACGAGGTTATATATATATATATATATATATATATATATATCAAGGGGCGCCAGCAGGCCGGCGAAAACATCGATTTCAGGGCAAGAAGACCGCCGCGCGCGCAGGTCTGGGGGGCGCTCGCCATGAGTTTGGCGAACCAGATGGACACCTTCCTGGGCGGCAGCGAGACCTACAAAGAGAGCGAGAATAATGTCTTCTACGAGTACTTCCAGAAGCACCTGGCCCAGAAGCTGCCGACGGATGTTGCCAAGCACGTGCTGCACTTCCGTTACAAGAAGTTCAAGCCGAAGAAGAACCAGGACGGGGCCGCGGTGGCGGCGGAGGAGAAGAAGGGCAGGCTCACGTTCGCCTTCTCATACGACGAGCCAGGGAGGGAGGCGCGGTCGCGTTTGATTCAGTTTCTGAACTCGGACAAGGCCAAGGCGACGCAGCTGGTGGGGCCTGCCCCAAGTGGCCCCCTCGAGCGCGAGGCGGCGAGGCCCCTGGCGATCTTCGAGAAGGGCGGTGGCAAGGACAAGGATCAGGATCATGAGAGCTGAAGACAAAAAAGAGAAAAAGGAACGACAGGAGTCGTTCGCGTGAGCGTGAGTGCGACGGCCCCCATGAGAGACGTTTATTGAGTAGAGGGGCTTTTGCAGGTAGCGAACGATTAGCAGCTTTAGTGGCCCGAGGGGCCATCCCAGACCCTTTTGAGGCCACGGGTTTCGACGCATATTCGAATCCCGATCTTCCCCCGATCCCCTTAGTAGTGGCGGCTAAACGGGCTCCACGCAGAGGAGGAAAGGGTAAGCAATATTCTCACGGTGGACCCAGTGCGTCGGTCCCCAAGACGGCCCCCTCCGTGCGCCTGCGCGGCGCCTGGGGTTCGCCATCGCTTCAGGGGCTGTGCTGGCCCTGCCAGAGGGGGTTCCCCCTGTCTCTTTTCAAGGTTAACCCGCTCCCCCAAGAAGTCGGGTTGCGCTGACTTCGCGGCCAGTTTTATGGTATGAGATCGAGTAACTCATTTGGACTCCCCGCGCATTGCTCATTGCTCATTGCTGCTCCTCCTCCTCCTCCTCCTCGCGACGAACGTTTTTGTTCTGATGCGTTCGGCCTCTGCGGGTCCTGCCACGGGACCGTCAACAAAAAAGACTCGGGATGAAAGGCCGGTCCATGTCCCGGGGCAGGAGTGCAGAGGGGGTTTCCTGTGAGAGTGGAGGCCTTCCAAGAACGCAGGGGGTCGGGCTCGATCTAGCGGCGATGTTTCGCCGATTCCCGCTCGATGTTTTCTCCCTGAAACAGCCCCTGCCCTTGCAGGCGATTTTTCTGCCCAAACCCGTGAGTTCCACCCGAAATGTCTGACGTCTAAGAAAAGAGGGAACCCTTGGGATACACCCCCAGGGCGCTACTCGGACGCACCCCTATCGTTGATGGCGCCCCCCCTTCCCACTGTATATCCCAGGGTGGAGCACCAACCTTGCAGTTCATTCGAAAGCCCTACCAATCCTGGGACAGGGGTCGACAGATCCCCTGATGCCCTTCACGCTGCCTCTGGCCGCTCCCTCCCCCGCTACTCTTCGGCCCTGCTCCCAGGAGGCCGTGAAAGCGAAAGCGCTCGGGCATCACCTGTGGGAGTTGCGGCAGCGACGGCTCGCAACCGGTTCACGGACCCCTCTGTGGGTCCACATGCGCCAGTTTCCCGAGCTGCCTCCAGCCCTTGCGACGAGGCCCCCCCCCGAAAAAAAAAAACAACGATCGTTGTCTCAATTCACTCTATTCTTAGCAGGCAGGGGCCTCCTTAAGAGCACTTGGAGGCCTCGAAATACGAAAGCACCGCATAAACGTTCGGATGTCCGCGAGGACTCCTTGGATCGGCTCTGGACGCCCTCTGGCTGGGGGAGGGGGCTCCCGCGCAGATCCAGGGACTCCGCGCGGAGGCAGCTCGTTCGTTTTTCCGGAGGAAGGCCCGTGCCTTCTGAGAAGCCCTCCGGCCTTCTCACAGGAGGCCTCCTGCCGAAATGCGACCTGTTCTGCGTTGTCCGCGGGAGGGCATGCACCGCGCGCGCGCGCGTGGGACGGCCCGGCTGCCAGGCGGCCGCGCGCCTGCTGCGCGCCGTGCTCCGCGTGCGGGCGGTGCACTACACGTCCGCCGCCCGGGCTCCGCGCTGGCCGGCTGGCCGGCCCTGCCTCCCCCGAGGTCCTGGCGTCGCATTCTTTCGCGCGACCTTCGATTTCGCCCGGTTCCGGGCCGCAGGACCCTCACAGATCGATGCGGTTTGAAGGATGGCGCACAAAGCGATTGGAGCCGTGTATGTCCTCGTAATTCCGTGTTCTTTAGAGTGCTGCAGCGTCGATGAGCGTCTTGTAATGGATGATATTGCGGCGATTGAGCGTCGGTTGGCGTCGGCTAGCGTCGATTTGCGTCCATCTGGCGTCGATTCACGCCGATTCGAAAGGGCCAACAAGATGGTATGGGAGGCCCCCATGAGTTGCCACAGAAGGGTCGTCGGTCGGGGATCCCCAGACCTGCAACGTGTCAAACACAAATACGCAGAGGCTTTTTTCGCGCGTGTGCGCTGTGCACTAACTACAGGTCCGCCGCCTCGGGTCCGCTTCGGCCTTCTGGCCGGCCGTCCAAGCCTCCGAATCGTCGATCGGGGATCCCCAGACCTCCACCTCCAAGGTGTTGAACACAACTACGCAGAGGTTCTTCGCCGCTTCCAGCCCTTACGGTCGGGAACTTTGGCTCAGCCTGTCGTGCCGCCAGTTCTGGCCCACCACGCTCACGCGCGACACCCTATCTCACTTCCTGGTCCCAGGCGTCGTCGTCTCGAGCCTTTCTCAGCCTCCCGCCACGCGGAGAGGAGCGACACGATTTCAGCTCGCAGGGCATAGCGTGTCGCTGGAGCAGCCGCCGCGACACTGTAAGCAACAGTTCCCGACCATACAGGGGCCCTCGCCGGCCCACAGGACCATCGCCGATCAACGGAACGGATTTCTGGAGAGCACGTGTTGACCAGGTTACAGCATCGGAGCATGCGACCAAGCGATGAGGACATGCCCCGGGGGGTTGCCGCAGTGTATAAGTTGCACCACATGGCTTGCATCAGCTAAATTGCACCACGTTGCTTGCACCGCCTCGATTGCACCGAGTAGATAGCAAAAATTCGTTGTTTGGGGTTCCCGCTGGCTAACATATTTCACGTTGCCCAAACATTGCTTGCACCAAGGGTTTCTTACTTCTGTTCTAAGGAACTGGGCCGTGTCGTCGTTCTGGCGGCTACGTGGACGCCGTCGCCGCCCCGTCGCCGCCTCGTCGCCGCCCTGTCGTCTGGGCCGTCTCTTCGGTCTGGCGGCTATGTGGCCGCCGTCGCCGCCATGACACCGCCCTGTCGCCGCCTTGTTGCCGCCCGTCGCCGTAGATATCACCACAGGTGGCACGGAAAAAATCCCGTCTGCGGCGCGCTTTGCGTTCGCTCGCAGCATCGATGAAATTATTTCTATTGCACAACTTAGGTTGTATCAAGCGATTGTACAACATATGCTGCAAAGTCATGCGTCTATACATATATATACATATATATATACATATATATATATATATATATATATATATATATATATATATATATATATATATATCTGTATCTATATATATATACACATTGCCCCGGCAGACGGGGTTCCCAGTTCGAGCCTGCGCCGAAGACATTATTTGAAGACGCTATTCTTAGTGACGACGCGTCCCTGTGAAGACGCTATTCCTTGTGAAGACGTTATTCCCAGTGAAGACGGTGAAGACGCTATTCCCGGTGAAGACGCTATTCCGGGTGAAGGCGCTATTCCGGGTGAAGACGCTATTCCCAGTGAAGATCGTATTCCCAGTGAAGACGCTATTCCGGGTGAAGACGCGGTCTGCGGGCACAGACAGCACGTGCCTTATGAAGACGCTATTCCCGGTGAAGACGCTATTCCTGGTGAAGACGCTATTCCCGGTGAAGACGCTACTCCGGGTGAAGACGCTATTCCCAGTGAAGATCGTATTCCCAGTGCAGACGCTATTCCGGGTGAAGACGCGGTCTGCGGGCACAGACAGCACTTGCCTTATGAAGACGCTATTCCCGGTGAAGACGCCATTCCCGGTGAAGACGCTATTCCCGGTGAAGACGCTATTCCGGGTGAAGACGCTATTCTTATAGTGAAGATCGTATTCCCAGTGAAGACGCTATTCCGGGTGAAGACGCGGTCTGCGGGCACAGACAGCACTTGCCTTATGAAGACGCCTTTCCCGGTGAAGACGCTATTCCCGGTGAAGACGCCATTCTGGGTAAAGGTGCTATTCCCGGTGAAGACGCTATAGTTCCGTTGTGAAGACGCTATTCCGGGTGAAGACGCGTTCTGCGGACACAGACAGCACTTCCCTTATGAAGACGCTATTCCCGGTGAAGACGCTATCCCCTGTGAAGACGCTATTCCCAGTGAAGACGCGATCCTGGTGCAGACGCTATTCCCTGTGAAGACTCTATTCCTGGCGAAGACGCTGCTCAGGGTGAAGACGCTATTACCACTGAAGACGCTATTCCGGGTGAAGACGTTATTCCCAGTGACGACGCTATTCCCGATGAAGACGCTATATTCCTGGTGAAGACGCTATTCCGGGTGAAGACGATATATTCCTTGTGAAGGCGCTATTCCGGTTGAAGACGGTATTCCAGGTGAAGACGATATTCCGGGTAATGACGTTTTTTTTGTGAAGATGCTCCTTCTCTTCACCAGGCCCCGTATTCCATGTGCTCCCCTCCCAATTGTAATTTGAAAGTGCTGTTTTAATCCTTGCTTTCCGTGCCCAACACAGCGCGTGTCCCATCTGTTGTGCGACACCCTCTGCTAGGCAAGACCCCTCCCCAGGCCTCCCCAAGTTGATTAAACAAGAAACCTTGGTGCTAGACATGCCCCATGCAACACCGTCTCCTGGGCAGGACCCCTCCCGGAGGACCCTCCCCAAGTTGATTCAAAAAGAATCCTTGGTGCTAGGCGTTTCCCATCTGCTGTGTGGCACCTTTCAAGTTGATTACAAAAAGAAACATTGGTGCTAGGCGTGCCCCACCTGCTGTGCGGCACCTCCTGCTAGGCAAGACCCCTCCCCAAGCTGATTACACAAGAATCCTTGGAGTTGGACGTGCCCCACCGGCTGAGCGGCACCCTCTGCTAGGCAAGAGCCCTCCCCAAGTGGATTAAAACGCAATCCTTGGTGTTAGGCGTGCTCCACCTGCCGTGCGGCACCTTCTGCTAGGCAAGAGCCCTCCCCGAGTTGATTAAACCACAATCCTTGGTGCTAGACGTGCCCCACCTGCTGCGCGGCACCTTCTGCTAGGCAAGACGCCTCCCCAAGTTGATTGAACAAATAATCATTGGTGCTAGGCGTGCCCCATCTGTTGTGCGGGACCTTCTGCTAGGCAAGAGCCCTCCCAATGTTGATTATAAAAGCATCATTGGTGCTAGGCGCGCCCTTTTGCTGTGCGGCACCCACTGCTAGGCAAGAACTCTCCCCAAGTTGATTAAACAAAGAATCCTTGGTGTTAGGCGTGCCCCACCTGCTGCGCGGCACCTTCTGCGGGGCAAGACCCCTCCCCAAGTTGATTAAGCAAGAATCATTGGTGTTAGATGTGCCCCTTTGCTGTGCGGCAACCTCTTCAGGGTGAGCCCCATTTGCTGTGCGGCACCTTTTGCTGGGCAAGACCTCTGCCCAAGTTAAGTTAAACCGATTCCCTTGTGCTAGACATGCCCTTTTGCAGTGTGGCACCCTATGCTAGGCAAGACCCCTTCACCAAGTAGGTAACACAAATCCTTGGTGCTGGACATGCCCCTATGCGGTGCGGCACCCTCTGATGGGCAAGACCTCTCCCCAAGTTGATTAAAACAGACTCTCTGGTGCTAGGCGTGCCCCATTTGTTGCGCGGCACCTTCTGCTAGGCAAGAACCTTTCCGCGAGCTGATTTAAACACATCATTGGTGCTAGATGTGCCCCTTTGCTGTGCGGCACCCTCTCCATGGTGAGCCTCATTGCTGTGCGGCACCCTCTGCTAGGGGAGACGCTTCCCCAAGTTAAGTTTTACATAATCCCTGGTGCAAGATATGCCCTTCTGCTGTGCGGCACCCTATGCCAGGCAAGACCCCTCGCCAATTTGATTAAAACGAATCATTTGTGCTAGACACGCCCCTTTGTTGTGCGACACCCTCTGATAGGCAAGAGCCCTCCTCACATTGATTAAAAAACAATCATTGGTGCTAGGCGTGCCCCACCTGCTCTGCGGCACCTTCTGCTAGACAAGACACCATGCCAAGTTGAGTAACCAAGAAACCTTAGTGCTAGGCGTGCCCCTTTGCTGTGCGACACCTTCTGCTAGGCACGGCCCAACCCCAAGTTGAATAAACATGAATCCTTGGTGCTGATGTGCCCCATCTGCTGTGCGGCACCTTCTGCTAGGCAAGACCCCTCTCCAAGTTGTTTGAAAACGAATCCTTGGTGCTAGACGTGCCCCATCTGTTGTGCGGCACCCTCTGCTAGGCAATGGCCCTCCCCAAGTTGCTTTAAACATAATCCTTGGTGCTAGGCGTGCCCCATCTGCTGTGCGGCACCTTCTGCCAGACAAGACCCCTTCCCCAAGTTGAGTTAAAACAGAACCCTTGGTGCTAGACGTGCCCCCCCCCCCGGCTGCGTGGCGCCCTGTGTTAGGCAAAGCCCCTCCCAACGTTGATTAAACAAGAATCTTTGGTGCTAGGCGTGCTCCCATCTGTTGATCGGCTCCTTCTGCTAGGCAAGACCCCTCCCCAGTTTGATTAAACACGAATCCTTGCTGCTAGATGCGCTCATTTGCGGTGCGGTACCCTAGGCTCGGCAAGACCCCTTCCCACGTTGATTGCAAAAAAAATCCTTGGTGCTAGGCGTGCCCCACCTGCTGTGCGGCACCCTCTGCTAGGCAAGACCCCTCCCCAAGTTGATTGAACAAATAATCATTGGTGCTAGGCGTGCCCCATCTGCTGTGCGGCACCTTCTGCTAGGCAAGACCCCTCCCCAAGTTGATTAAACAACGGATCCTTGGTGCTCGATGTGCCCCTTTGCTGTGAGGCACCCTCTGCCAGG